TGGTAAAAGACCACCTAGCTGCTTTGAATGAGTTCAAGTCTCAAGTCAGACTACCAGAGGGATTTGCAGCTGGCTAACCAACAGCACCCAACGTGTGGTTTAGTATTGCTCTTCTGCCCCCATCATTTCTATTTTCTCCCTTTCCTCCAGGAGCTCTACCACTTTTCACTTACTGTTCTCATCTTTCTTTTCCCCAATGTTTTCACTAACAGAAAAGGTGAAAACACACGTACCAAAAAGAACACACCCATGTATGTGCCAAAACAAAAAGGACACGACTTTAAAAGGCGATTGAACTATCTCTGCATGCCCCATCTTAGTAAGATATATTGTAAACACATCACACCCACCAACATGAGACGACTTGGGAAAGATGCACACTGGGCAAGGAGCCCATCCTCCTAGGCTTCCTGCACATAGCCAATTTTTCCCACCATATTTCTTTCTGTCAGCAGTCTTTCTCCTCTCCCTCCCCTTCTTTTTTCCTTCCTCCTCACCAGCACGTTCTCTTTTCTGCTGTCTCCTCAACTGGATCTGTTCTCCACTCCCCCCCCCGCTCTCCTTTCCCTCCTTCCCTATTTCTTTGCTCCCCCTTTTTAATTGCACACAATGTTCAGGTTCCTTCCTTTGTCCTCAGGCAAATTCACCTTCCTCTAAGCACTCAAAACTCTGGCTCTGGATGGATGGATGAATCTGTCAGTTTTGTTTTCTTCGCCATTTGAACTTTTTACTGTCATGTCCTTCCCACGTTGAAGAACACGTAGAGATACTGTGGAGTGGAGCTTGAAGAGCACGGAGGCTGGTGTGTGTGTGTGCCAGGATCAAAAAGAGTTAAGCCCTTCACTCCAAATTATCATCTCTAGTTTTTAGTTTTTTGCTTTCAGCAAAAGCTGCTGTTGGGCTTTTCGTTGTGCATCTTAGTTTTGTCTATAATTGTTAAACAAATGGGTTGCTGTCTTTTGTGACATCTGTTTTGTGAAGACAGTCACAGTAGAAACATTTTTCCTGTCCAAATAATACACATCTTTCAATGAATTAATATAAAATATTTTATCCTGTCTTCCTCCTTAAAAAGGACCTAAGGTGACATCATTAACAAAAATATTTAAAAACTAAAAACAGTAAGTATACAAATATTAAAAAAGAATTAAAGAAGTATTATGTTAAAAATGATAAATAAAATTAATTACATTTTAGTGGATTTTGTTTTCATTTGCCACTATGTCACAGATGGAAAAAAGTAAGTGAACTTAGGTAGCATAAAGTACAACAGGTTGCATCTTTTTGGAGTATTTTGCTTGCACAGAATGAAACTTTTATATTTTTAGATCTCATAATTATGTCAAATACTAAAATTATCGTTGATAACTGAGTTATAAATGAAGCAGCAAAATATAGTGTATATTGTGGCACAGTGTACCATATTTTTCCATGTATAAAATGACACTTTTCCGTTAAATAATTAGACAAAAAATTGAGGGTCGTTTTTATACATGGAAGGCAGGCGCTTTCCCCTGCCTTTTGCAAAGTCACGGGGCTTAGCAAAAAGGAAGGAATGGCTCCCTTTGGGTAAAGCAGCTGTGAAGGGGGGGCACAATCACAGCTCTTTGATCCTGAAGCCCTTTCACGGTTGCTTTACCCACTTCCTAAGCCCCGTGGGGCTTAGAAAGTAGGTAATGCAGCCGTGAAATGGCTGCACAATCGCAGCCCTTTGATCCTGAAGCCCTTTGATCATTTTGACCACCATTTTCCTTTGTCTTTTGCGAGGCCACGGGACTCCCTTCCTTTTTGCTAAGCCCCACAGCTTTGCAAAAGGCAAGGAAAAGTGGTGATCAAAGGAAGCCTTTTGATCCCTGCTTTTCCCTTCCTTTTACTAAACTCTGTGGCTTAGCAAAAGGAAGGGAAAAGCAAGGGTCAAATTTTCTAATTTGGGATTAGAAGAGGCGGGGTTGTCTTATACATTGGGTCATCTTATAAATGGAAAAATATGGTATATTTCAGATTTCCCCTGAATGTTGTAGTTTTTTTGCCTAGAGGAGGAAAAACTTGTTTTCTCCCCCCCCCCGCATCAATATTTCTGGCAAATGTATATATTTAATCCAGATTAATAAAATGCATTGATTATTGCTTCATTTGACAGATATTTATAGAAATGCTAGGGTGGGAAGATAATGTGGAAGAAGAGAAATTGTATCATGATTGTTTAAGTCACTGGGAGGTGTCAAAGACATATAAGTGTAATTAAGCAGTCCACATATATATGGTGATGGACACTTTATGACTAATCCAGGTGTAGGAGAATGACAAGAATCCTACTTGAGTTCTTGCAAGGTTTGTGTAACTTGCCATGGCTTATGGTGCTTAATTGCATGCCTGTGACTGAGATGTGCCCCAATACTTTAACAGGTAGCCACAGTAAATTACAGAACACTTATGGAAGACCAATAGGATTACAGCCATAGAATTTAGCTCAGAAGAACAAGAAAATGCTAAAATTACAGACATTGGAAAAACAAAATTTGTATGGTAATATAGATCTCTTTGACTAGCTGAGCTGATTAAAACCTGCCTTTAAGCAGATTCCAACTTGTAGTGACACCAGTAGGGATCCTGAGATGTATGTGATTTTTAAAGAATATATTTGCCATTGTTGCAGACCCCAAGTGAGTTCCTACTGCTGAGGTGGATTTGAATTCAGGTCCCTTGAGTCTCAGTCTGATATTCTATTTGCTGTACTACACTGGATCTCACTAACACCTGTTGTAAGAGGAAGAGTGATAGAGGGTCTCTAATCTCAAGCTGCCTATCCTAGAATAGGATAACTCAGGAACAGACAAATAGTACAGGAAATACATTGACAAATAATATAGAAAATGCTCTGAGACTAAAACAGTGAGAGTCACATTTTTTTCTCTGACTACATGATATAAAATTCCATGTGAATCAACCCTGAGTAGAGGGACTGAGTAGGGGGACCCCAATCCATACCTTTTTCCTCTCTTGTTAGGGCTTCTGCTTTTTTGGAATTGAATGCATTTGCATCACTTCAAATGGTTTCAGTACTTGAGCTAATATGGAGTTTTGTAACATTTCTAGTTGAAACCATTCCAGCTGGCTACAGCAGCATTGAGAGAGGCAAGATAGTGGGAAAACTGGCTGCCTTTTGAATTATCTCCTCCCCACACACGGTGTCTGGGTCTGCTTGTTTCCTTCTTCTCTTCATTTCCCATCATATCCCATCCTTTCCCTTCCTATTCCATTTCCCCCTTTTCTTTTATAGGCATGCTACCTAGCACTAGGACAAATAGCTGATTGAAGGGGGTGGGTGGGAAGAGCAAAGAATTAACAGAAAGAGGGGAAGAATTTTTACATCAGCCTTGTTTCCAGCTTGTTAAGGTAGCTCTGCTTTGGCTTCTCAGATTTGCTGGAGGCATGAGTAGAGCAGAACTACTTCAACAAGCTGGAAACAAAGCTAATGGAAAACTTTAATTTCTTTCTCCCTATGTTGATTCCTTGCTTCTCTCTCTACTCCTTGGACACTAAGCTTTTCTAGTGCTAGGGCAGTAGGTCTTTAAAAGGAAGTGTGGTGTCCACCCTCGTGCCCCTTTTGCTTGACCTTCAAGCCTCAGAGCACACAAAGGCAAATTCTCCTCTTTAACACTGCTGCCACCAGGTGATCCCTAAATTACCATTTACCTCAGAAAGATTCAGGTTCACACTTCAAGTTCCTTTAAATAAAACTTTGATTTATTGATAACAGAGTTTGATTCATGAATATCTTCAGTAACTAATCACACCTCAGAATTTCCCAAACTACACACTCTATTACTTTCTCTGACTTTTCTCTAGTGCCTGACTCTTACATTTCTCTACTTCACTCAGTCTCACTTAATCTAACTCTCTGACTCTGCCTCTTATAGCATCTCTCTTGACTCCGCCTCTCAGCAACATGAATATTCATAAACCATTACATAATACAACAAGAACCATAGATCTAATAAATAGAGAACACTACAGGAAGGAAGGGAGGAAAGATGGAAGCAAGCAAGCAAGCAAGTAAGCATGCATGCATATCCAGGGACCAGGTGTAGGAATTAAAGGAATCAAACTGTTAAGAAGCTGCAAACAAGCCTTGTTGCCAGTTTCCTCCTCTTCACTGCTTACTCCTGTGTGGGCTGACATGAATTAACCTGGGGAAATCCAACCTCCCAGAAGCACCTTCAGAATGTATCCATTCACATTTTTCCTGCTTTATAGCCATACCTTTATATGGTAGAATGTGATGAGGAACACCTGGAAAAGACTTCATCAAGAAGTTTAAATTTATCTTCTGTAGCTTGAATAAAGACAAAGGCTTTTAGTCTCACTATATACATCAATCCACTCACGTACATAGCATTATTTTTAGTACCACTTGACTATTATCTATTAACTGTTCATTATGAAATTTTATTTTCCATTGTCAGTCATTTCTGTATTTCTTTCCCTTCTGGCTCACTGAATTAAAATTGCTATCCAAAAGAGTTCATCTAGAGGTTAAACTCTCTTGTGCATAGACAATGCCTTTCCATTACCATACATTAGTTAATCTGCTTTTCTATGCTAGTTGCCCTTGTCACCTCATAACAATTATGTGTTCCCAATCATCACTGGGGTTTCTGCCTCTCACTACTGTGTTTTCCGAATCTACCTTCCCAAGCTGTGTATCTACCAACTGCAAAAATACATTGCCTCAGTCAGCAAATATAACTGGGACTGCTTCTCAGTAAAGTGTGCCCCACAAAGATTTATACCAAATAAAACATGCTGGCCCCTTAAGATGCCATTAGACTTTTTGTAGTTGTTTCCACTTTAAATTATTAATTTTTCTTTATCTCATCTCTGTTCTCTACATATGATTTACTAGGCTTTCTTCTCCTGTCCTGGAATTATCAAAATAACAATAAGCCTGCTGTTTTATTATGTTTCTTTCTGAAAATCATTTCTCTTGTATCTTTCAGAAAATCCTGAGCGTGCTGCTCTGTATTTTGTGTCTGGCATTTGTGCTGGGCTCCTCTTGACCCTGCTGGCCTTAGTGCTCCGAATCTCCTGCCAAACGGATTGCAGACCATCATCCAAAAAAAAGCCACCCCGAGACACGGACACTGACAGCAGTGGTAGTGACAATGATTCAGACACGACGTCTGACCTGTCTGCGCGGAGGCAACGCAGATTTGAAAGGACTTTGAACATGAACATTTTTTCCTCTGCGGAGGAGCTAGAGAGAGCTCACAGGCTGGAAGAAAGAGAGCGCATCATCCGGGAGATATGGATGAATGGCCAGCCGGATATTCCAGGGACCAGGAGCCTGAACCGGTACTATTAATGGTTCACAAATAATACAGACATTTTTACTGCAGTCTTTCTAAATCTGTTAGGAAGGGGGTTAGGTGGGGAGAAAGAGGGAAATGGCGTTGCTGTATAACCTCTTATGCAAAGAGATTTCTGGAGGTATACTTAAATGAAGCATTAAATGTTCCAGAGGTACCACGCCATGTAGATAATAACTACCTTCCCTTGCTTAATTGCCGCCTGTTATTTTCTTGCCAATCTCTCTTACTATTTGTTGTGGTACAGAGGGCAGCATGGAAGATTAAAGGCATAAAAGCCAATGTTTGGTGAAGAAGGAACTGAAGCCGAAAGGCACAATGAGCAACTGTCTTTGGATGCTTACTTTGGATGCTGATGGAACTGATCTACTTACCAAAAAGGATGAGGGCAAAAAGCAAGATAAGAAGGAAAAACAAAAAACAAAACAACTGTTCCAAGAGCATTTCCATTCTGTGAAATCATTTTGGTGCTTGGATGTTCAATGTTCTGTTACATTATTTAAGACTGTGTGTTTAATCTTTCTTCAGTGGCAGCATTTAATTGACACCTCAGGGATAAAATCCTTTCCTAACTTACATTAATATATTCACCTCTGCACATTGGCCTTTTACCCAGTCTTTCTCCTACAGGTACCTTACATTGTTTTAGGAGTTGTGTCTGTGATGAATAAACGGTTAACAACCTCTAAGAGGTTTAAAGGAGGCTTTGTGTGTGCCCCCACACACAATTTTAAATGCTTCACAATCACGTGCCTTATTAATACCAAATTTCAGTTTTTAATAACTGTGATGCTCAGTGTTTCATATATTTTATGAGAGAGAGAGTGGTTTGTTCTGTCAGAAAAGCTTTTTATTGTGCAATCTGACTTCTTCGAATGTAGCATTTTATTGTGGATCCAGACATCATTAGTGCTATATACATGAATAACTCTCTCATGGCTTCTTCAATTTCTATCTCCTTTAAAAGTGTTAAGAAAAAGAAGGATAGAATAGCTATATTTTGCTTTTTTACTGGTAGATCTAAAAGATCTTTGCCTGGAAGTAGCAACAACAAAATGATCAAAAGATACAATCTGAGGATAACTTCAAAGTAAATTCTGCTTTCCTCATTTTTGAATTCAAATATTCAGTTCTGGGTTGATGCTTTCTCGCAGTGAAACACAAATCTTCTTTTTATAGGTACTCTAAAGTTGCTACCATGATAAGCCCAGTAGTCTCTTCTTGTTAACATTGAATTCCTGCCCGAGCAGACAAGTGTAGTGAACCAAGCAATTCTGAGAAGGCCTCCCACACCACACTGCATTTCAGTGGGTTTCAGCAGAAATAGGCCACCCTATCATGCACATGGCATATGCTACTCATTTAAGCAATACCTGTTGGATGCTCTAACGCAACCTTGCTCAGGACCTCCCATATATCAAGGTGATACACGGTTTATTGCCTTTATTCTGTTTGTCAGGGCATAACTATCCTGACAAAAATGCCAGTGAGTTAATGAGGCATAATTTCCCCCTTCCTGAAACTACGGAACTGACAATTAACCCTTAGGTGGCCTAGATTCCACACACAAGAACAAGCGCTGCACAGAAAAGAAGGTCACTTGGTACATTGGAACACTGATATGTAAAAAGAGTGGGTTATTCTTTAGAGAGATGCACACAGTTATTACTGAAGCTCAAGTTAACTGTTTCTGTACATCTATTTCCCCAGTATATTGTATTTACTATAGTCTTTTCAAAGGGTTTTATTTAAACATCTTGCCTTATATTCTTAGATCTGAAAAAGGTCTAAATATATGTGGCTCAGCCACTGCACTGAAATACTATAGACAAGACCAGCAACTCTAGCCTCATATTCCCATTACCAATATTATGAAACAGGAAACCAAGGTGTGTTTTAGTATACACACCTCTTCTGATTCTCATTTAATCCCAGTTGGCTAGCTTTTACTTGGATTCTTGGCATGTCACCCAGTGCACATTTAGACTGGCCTGGATTCCTAATCTTTGCCTGTTTGTCGTTTTGACCGTTTGTCTTTAACAAAGTATCTAGCTAAGTTATAAAGTAAAATATGTAGTAAGTGTTTTGGCCAATTGTTTTGGAAGAAACTTGTGAATAAGGAAATGAACTGTTCAGCACAGTTAGCCAATCAGTGAAGCCATCAGCAGTTTGGCATGGTCTTGTCGATATAAAAATTAAAGATTCATTCTCTCTTGAATTGTGGATGACTTTTGCAATTATGGAAAAGCCAAGCCTTAACTTAATAGCATAGCACTGAAATCCGTTCTGTAGATTTGCCTCCAGACAATGTGTTGATAGCTATGAAGCCATAGTAATGACATGGGTGGGGCAGCAGATATACAGTAAGCACTCGTGCAAAGCCTGATGCAAGCTGCTAGTGCTCTAACAAGATGTATTTAAGGTAACATGCTCTGCTGTCTTTTGCCATTGCCATTGTTACTCTTTGTAATATTAATGCAAAACTCTTTTGGTGCTGGCTGAGTGATTCTAGGAGATGTAGTTGAAGAAAGAAATGTTTTCCAATCTCTACTATTATTACTGAACTGGTAGTGGGGAAAAAAAAATCACATTCCAGTTTATTTTCTGCAGGGTTCTAGGAGCTTAGCCAAGATCTTCATTTACTCAGAGGAAATGAAGAACTGAGAAAAAAGAAAATAAGAGGAGGAAGATAACTTATAGCTGCTGTGGCTCTTAGCTTCTTGGAAAGAGGTTTCAGACAAGGACAAAGAAATGACAATATTGTAAAAGGACTGATGCTACACTTATTTGTCTTTGTAGTATGGTGTGGTCCTTTGAACTTCTTATTTATATATATGTCCTACTAACTTAAAAGCAGTTTACAGTGGTGCCTCACTTAACAATGTTAATTGGTTCTATAAAAAAATCGTTATGTGAAAACATCGTTAAGTGAAACACCACTTCCCATAGGAATGCATTGAAAACCGGTTAATCCGTTCCAATTGGAACAGATTAATGCTTGCAATCATTAGCCCACCTCCTGAAACCTATGCAAACTTAATTTGGCATTGTTCTGAGTCGTCGTTAATTTTTGGTGATTTTTTCTCTCTCATTGAAAAGCACTGGACTGTCCGTCCAATGCTTTTCAATGAGAGAGAGAAAAAATCACCAAAAATTAACGAAGACTCATTTTTACGTACAGTGGTGCCTCGCACAACGATTGCTTCATACAACGATGAATTCACACAGCGATGGGTTTTTTTGAGGAATTTCCCCCATCATTTAACGATGTTCTCTATGGAGGAATTTCACTTAACGATGTCCCTTTTTCGCTCCTGTAAAAGTGTCTTAAACTGGTTGAAGCCTGTTTTAAATGCTTGCAATTGTTAGCCCACCTCCTGAACCCTATGCAAACTTAATTTGGTGTTGTTCTGAGTCGTTAATTTTTGGTGATTTTTTAAATTCTCCATTGAAAGCCCTTGAACGGACCATTCAAAGGCTTTCAATGGAGAATTTAAAAAATCACCAAAAATTAACGACTCAGAACAACACCAAATTAAGTTTGCATAGGGTTCAGGAGGTGGGCTAACGATTGCAAGCATTTAAAACAGGCTTCAACCAGTTTAAGACACTTTTACAGGAGCGAAAAAGGGACATCGTTAAGTGAAATTCCTCCATAGAGAACATCGTTAAACGATTGGGGAAATTCCTCAAAGAAACCCATCGCTGTGTGAATTCATTGTTGTATGAAGCAATCGTTGTGCGAGGCACCACTGTATACTTCAGAAAATGTCTGTATGAGATTGATGTATTTGTGTAGATTAGCATACAGAGATTGGAAAAGTTGCCTTCTTTGAAAATGTCTTCCAGAATCACCCAGTCGATATTGTCAGTAATTATTTTGGCTGAGGGATTCTGGATGGTGTAATCTAAAAATTAATTTCTCCAAGCTCTATGCTGAATTTCGTTATATACTACAGCATAGCCCATTGTACTGAAATAAAACAGCAGCAAGGAGGTGAGCGGTCAGAAATAAATTATACTGAAAGAAAGTGAAAATAAAATATGGAGGGTAAGATTTAGGAGTATCTCTTTTAGCTTAGTAATTGCTCTGCAATATATACAAAGGAATACCTTTCAATGTTTTCAGGAAAGCAGCTGAGCTAATCAGTTGCAGTGGAAATGTAAAAAAAATTATTGTGCCACCTTAAAGGCTAACAAGTCATGTGAGGCATAGCCTTTTTTTTCTGAAGGCACCCAGTTCATCAGATGCCTAAGAACAGGGCCTTGGTTGGCAGATTATTATACACATGCTTCAGTGCAAGAAATGAGGTGAAGAAACTGAATTTTTTTAAAAAATTACAAATTTTGAGCATTATCTTAACTATGATAATTAATTAATACTAATTGAATGGCAGCACCGAGATCTTCAGAGAGAAGAGCTAATTATGATAAATGTTGGATTAAAAGTTGAAAGAAAGTGACACTTGGCTAAGAAAATTAAGCTACAGTGTATTAAATTTGCATCTGTGCAGAAAACAAACACCTTTCTGTATTCGCGAAGGCTTTCACGGCCGGGATCTAATGGTTGTTGTGGGTTTTTCGGGCTTCTTGGCCGTGTTCTGAAAGTGGTTCTTCCTAACGTTTCGCCAGTCTCTGTGGCCGGCATCTTCAGAGGACAGCGGATTTTGCCCCCACAGATCAGGTGATAATGTGTCACTTGTGAGGGATATCCTAGGGTACTCTCATGGATCTTTTGCTACCAGTAAAAGCTACATTTGTTTGTTTGTTGTTTTTTTACTTATTTAACTTGTATAGCACACCAATTAATGTTAAAAACTACTCTGGGAAGTTTAAATCCAAAATGAAAGAAGCATAACATAAATCATAAATAATACACCAAGTACTAAACCTTGTACAGATTAATATTTAATAAGATTAGACTGAAGGCAAAATGCCACCAGAAACTCCTGTTGATTGCAATATGTCATTCATACAGACCAGCAGTGTACGTGGCTGCTTTAGATGGTTCCCTCCCCACACCCATTTTATTCCGATAACAACTTTGTAAGGTACGTTTGGCTGAGAAGTACTTACTGGTCCATGGATACCAAGTAAGCTTTATGACTAAGCAGGAATTTGAACTTGTGTTTTCTTCTTCCAAGTACACTTACCTTTATACTTGCTGCCCCGAGTAGACGTTGTCTATAGGGGCGGGGTAAAAATTGAATAAATAAATAAATAAATAAATATAGTATATTGACTACCAAGTCAGCAATTGCAGTATAAATGATACCAAAGCTGTAACATATTGGCTGGGGGGGAAAGGCAAGAGTCTATGTACTTGATTTGTGTTATATACAAACTATGTCACAGTTTGCAAAATATGAAAATTAGGCCATCCAGATTTGGAGAAGAGGTATATGGCAACTCTAATCTTTCTGTAACAACCACCAGCTATACTTTCAAGTAGCCTTTCTATCTTTTCCCTTCTCAAGTTAGAAAAAGCCTAACCTGTGAAGCCACAACCCCAAGGCTGTAATTCCATACTAGAGATGGGGACAAATTTTAAAAAATGGCAATTCATTTTGATTCATGATTCATCAAGGTTAACGGATCAACAAGTATGAATATACGAACATTCTTCGATGAATCAATTTGTTGATTTGCCTGTGCTTTAAATGGCTATAAAGCTGGCCCCTAATCACCTAGAGACACCACATTTCCAGAGAAGCTTCATCTGATGTTTTTTTTACAACTCCCGAAAGTTTGTTGAACATTGGATAACAGACTCCTGCCTTATATAGACACAAAGAGGACACCCCCATTAAAGCTCACCCCAGGTACTTAGAGAATCTGGAATCACAGCGGAGCTTCCTATGTCTTTCCCCAACATGCCTGCCAACTTTGGTGAAGATTGGATATCAAATATCCGAGTTATTCACCCA